CCTTACAGCCTGAGAGCCGGATTCAGTGTACTGTGTCTCTCCTGACCCTCCCCGTCGTTCATGCTCTGTCTCTCTTATGTTTCAAAAAATAAATAAACATTAAGAAAAAATTAAAAAAAAAAAAGACATCCAGTGGCCAACAGGCACGAAAAATTACTAACATGGCTCCACTCATCAGGGAAATCAAACAAAACCACACTGAGATTCACCACTGTATGCCCTGCCGTCGGTGCAATAAATGAACAATCAGGGGGAGCTTATAGATCTGGCGAGAAATTCAAAGGCCAGGAACCCTCTTGCCACTTTGTTGGTGGGAATGCAAACTGGTGCAGACTGCTCTAGAAAAACGTGATGTAGTTTCCTCAAAAAAATTAAAAATACACCTACCCCTATTGCCCAACTAACGCTGAATTTACTAAAGGGATACAGGAGGTGCGATCGATGTGGGCACTCCTAATGTTTATAGCAACACTCTCAACATACTGAAAAATTATGGAAGAGCACAAATGCATCACCATCACTGATGAATGGACTCAAAAATATGTGTTTTCTATACACAATGGAGTACTAGAGTGGCAATGAGAAAAAGAATAGAAATATGGCCTTGTAGGCAAGGCTGTGGATGGAGCTGAGAGACGTGTGATGCTGTCAGTGAAATAAACCATACAGAAAGACGAATCCATGGTTTCACTCTTTCGTGGATCTGCAGAGACTTTCTTCTGAAACCCATGGGAGAAGGAAGAAAAAAAAAAAAGGTTAGAAGTGGAGAGGAAACCAAAAACATAGAACTCTTAAAAAGCAAAAAAACTCTAAACAAAGAGTTATTAGTCGTGGAAGGAAGGAGAGAATTAAAGTAAATGTAAATTAATGAAGAAGGCTTCCTGTTAGGATAAACACACCAAATTATATATAAACTCTAGTTTAATAATTCATAATGTCACTTTTCTCACTAAAACCTATAGAGAGGAAGAGAAAGAAACTTAAAAAATTGAAAAAGAAAGAAAGAGAAACAAGCTCCTATAAAACACTGAATCTGAGCTCAACGAGAGGAAGTTAATGGGAGATGAGAAAGAGGAAAAGTAAAATGTCTCGTGAAAGGAAACTTCTATTATTAGGATAAACACTAATTGTATAAATAGTATTGGTGATTATCATTTAATAAATGAACAGGAAAAAGGAGAACAAAACTTCATATATAACATATTTAAGTAAGTTATGCCTCTGTCTTAGCTTTTGCAATAGAATCTGTATTCTGTTATCTTCTCTTTGCTTTAGCATATCAGTTTTTCTAAATGATATTCAAAAGAATATACTATCTTAATTTTCAGGATTCTTTTTTTTTAATGTTTATTTATTTTAGAGATGGAGAGAGAGACAGAGCACAAATGGGGGAGGAGCAGAGAGAGAGGGAGACACAGAATCTGAGACAGGGTCCAGGCTCTGAGCTGTCAGCACAGAGCCCGACACGGGGCTTGAACTCAGGAACAGGGAAATCAGGACCTGAGCTGAAGTCAGACGGTCAACCCACTGGGCCACCCAGGTGCCCTGGGATTCTTGTTTTTGTAAGTTTTATTTATTTTGAGAGAGACAGAGACAGCACAAGTGGGGGTGGGGCAGAAAGAGAGGGTGAGAGAGAGAATCCCAAACAGGCTCCGCACTGTGAGCACAGAGCTCAATGTGGGGTTAGAACCCACAGGGTCATGGGAACATGACTTGAGCCAAAACCAAGAGTCAGATGCTGAACTGACTGAGCCACCCAGCCACCCCTGTTTTCAGGATTCTTTTAACACGGTTATAATTCCTACTTTGTGTACACAATATAGAATGTCCCACTGAAAAAAATTTTTATTTACATATTTTTTAAGTTTATTTATTTTGAAAGAGAGAGAGAGAGAGAGGGAGAGACAAAGAGAATCCGAAGCATTCTCCATGCTGTCAACAGAGTCCAATGAGGGGCTTGATCTCATAAACCATAAGATCATAAACTGAGCCGAAATCAAAAGTAGGATGCTCAAGGAACTAAGCCATCCAGGTGCCTCTATATATTTTACAAACTGAAAATGTGAAGGTCTTGTGAAGAAAAGGACAAAGTCATGGGATAGAAGGTGGGGAGGATTTGGGAGATATTAAGAAAATTTTCACTTATTTATAATGAAATTTTGAAGAATGATAATAAATTAAGATTTTGTAATATAGTGGTATGTGGTATATTGGGGAAAGTACCAAATTAAGAATTTGACAAATTTACTTCTATCCATTTTTACTAATAAATAGCTGAATGATCTCAGGAACTTCTCTTCAGTTTTCTTGTCTGTAAAATGAATATACAAGCATATGTGTACGTGTGTGTGTGCACGTGTGCATGGGTGCTTTCACGCTTCTATATAAAAGCTCTTTGTTACAGGAAGAGGTTAGGGGGAAACTAAATCTTGTCACCACAGAGATTAAATGAATTAAGTGCCTCTGCTGTCAGATTATATAAATTTGAAAGTTACTTCAGAGCACTTTAGGCCTTGCCCTAACCCTGAAGAGGAGAAACTTCACCCAAAGAAGCCTGAGACCTTGTTGGATTCAAGTGGATTCAATTCTTGTTCAGCAAGGATGGTGCAAGGCCAGCAGAACAGTGTAGTAAGTACTTGGGCAGTAATTCTGACCTTGCCTGGAGATTGTAAGGGAGAATATTCTTATGATCAGCTCTGGGACAGGAATGTGCTTCAGAAGCACATTTTAGAAGTGCTTAACTCCTACTAGAGCCCTCCAGAGATTGCCGAGACCTCAGAGTCTGACTGGCAGATGGTGCCTGGTTACATTTGAGTCAGAATTTTGTTAAGTGTCATTTTTGTGCCCAGTCAACTATTTCAGTACAGATGATTAGTCATATTTTAATTAGACCTAATTCAAGGCAGATTTTTCATAGAACATCCTTCTACCTGTTTATGCTTGTCTTACCTTTTTGGGGGAGTCAATAGTTTTTACCTAATCTAGACCATGAGTTTTGAGTTTACTGTGCTGAGTACGCTTCTGGGCTGTCTGAAGTAGCAGCCCTGGTGCTCCCAGATACAGCAAGTCCAGGCACTCCTAGTTGGGGAGCCCCTCCTGATGGAGCTTAGCACAGAGTGAGAATTCTGCTCGTGTCAGCTGCTGAGATATGTGAAGAGCCTCTGTTCTCAGGTCAGGGCCAGTGTGACCAGGTAAACCCAGGAACCAAGTACGTGGTACACTGCTGTGCAGCAGTGTGCCTGGCTTCTGCCTTGGCCCACTTCCCTGATGGGAAAGCCCTCTGCTCCCAATCTCAGCCTGCTCATTTGGGTCCTTCACAACTTAACCCAACTCTTGACAGGCCCTTTTCACTGCAGTTTTTTTCTGCCCCTGCTACATATATAGCTCCTGCCTAGATGCTCCCCAACCTTACAACATCCAGTGTTGTACTTTCTAGAAACTCCTATTGCCATGCCCCACACCTCAGGACATACTTTCTGGTGCTGTTAAAACCAGCCTTGATAAATCCAGGTTAATCACATCCACATGAACTCTGTGATTTGAACTGCTAGCCATCCCTGAGGGAGCCAGCCCACAGCCCACTTAAGTCCCCCTGGTCATTCTGGGTTTCTTGCCATTGCAGGCACCTGCTGTGGGGACCCCAGTGTTTGCCAACACCAACTAGAGAGGGTTCCAACTCCAGTCATGCCAGCATGCTCAGAAGTTCGCCATGGATATGAAAGGAGATTATTATAGAAAAAGGAGACTTACTGTTCTCTGCCTCCACAGAGAATAAATGCAGAGGAAACTATGAGTAATGTATGCACAACAAGTGCTTTTTAGTACCAGGACATAAAATTTTTTATTGGCAGGCAAAGTGAGATACAGATTGTTATATTAAGTAGTGCCCTCAGTCAAAATACAGCTATTTGCCTGCTGCAACAAAATGTAAAAAATTACAGAATTATTGCAGCAAAGGCTTGCACCAACAGTCTAAAATGCAGACACTAAAGCTGAGCACTGTTCTTTCAAAGATATACTTAGTTGGGAAAATATAAAGTTCAGGGGTGGGCAGCCCAGGTCTTCATGGAGAGAGAGTGCACCCAATGGTAGATCTCTAAGGCTCTAGAGACAGAAGTCTCTCATTGGCTGTCACCCACACTGAGTCCATTACACCTGCTGACTCTGTCTGCAGTCCATTTCCTCCGAAGGACCATGAACTGACCAGCCATCCAGATGTGCCATGCATATTATGCCACCTGTTTTGAAGAAACATCTGGTGTTTTTATTACCTTGCTATTGCTGGGGGAATTTTCCATTCTCCTCCAAGGCCCTCCATTCTTTTGAGTGATGTTGTTTGTGTTGCTGCATAAGGGTTCAAATGTTCTGTCCAGCTTTCTTCCTTTTTGTGCAGTGTTGACTCATTTTCCCCAGACACTTGTTCATATGCTGCTTGCTGTCGTCTCTTGATCTCTCTTGCCAAACGACAGTAAGGCATTTTTGAAGTGCCGGAAGTCTTTGGCTGGGGTTTTATCCAGCTGTCCTTGTTTGGTATGTTGGCAAAAGAGTCCCACTCTCCATTTGTGTAGAATTTGCCCATTATTTCTATTCCTGCCTCTCAAGTGGAGCCAGGTTAGCCAAATGATAGAAAATTAAATCCAGATGATTCGCGATAAGGAATATGTTTTATGAAAAAGACCATGGTCATAGAGAATGCTCAGAATGAGATTATGCAAATGTTTCTATTATCACACGTTCAAGTAGTACAGACGCTCTTGATTCTAATGCAAGGCAAAGCAATTCTGGTTAGCTTTTTATTTATTTAATTTATCTCTTTTAAATGAGCAAAGCTCACTTAAGCATAAAAGAAATTAGGTCTTCAAAAGAGCCTACCTCGTAATCACCTATGTGTTTCATAGCCCAACAGAGATGATGAATAAATAAATTTGCTTTGGTCTCATAGTTGATAATATACCCATGCACTGTTGTACAGAAATGGCTGTCATGCTCTTTCATTTCAGGAAACCTGTGATCTGGGTAAGATAAAACCTGAAGCCAGAAGATATTTGGAAAAGTCAGTTAAAATGGGAAAAAGGAATGGGCTCCATCTTCCAGAACAAGTACAAAATGTGAGTTTGTTTCTTTTTTTTTTTTTTTTAATTTTTAAAAATGTTTTATTTTAAGTAGACTCCATACCCATCGTGGGGCTTGGACTCATGACCCTGAGATCAAAAGAGGCATGCTCTACCAACTGAGCCACCCAGGCACCCTGTTTATTTTTCTTATTGGAAAGAAAAAGAATAAATAAACAAAATACAACAATAGCAACAACAATAAAAAAAACAAGTAACACATTTGTAATATGGAAAATAACACATAATATTAAATCCGTTTACAGTGTATTTGGTAGTCAGTGTTTTTAAATTGTGCAACCCCTAAAAAAAAAAAAAAGAAAGAAAAAAAAGTCTATAACTCCTGTAAACCTCATGGTGACTGACAAACAACTCATGATTTTTTTTAATCCTGTATATTTTACCTTTGTTTCACGTGTGCTGGGTTTATTTTCCCTACTGTATTTTACATTTTCTTAAAGCTAATTCCAGATCTTAATAGTTGATTTGCATCCTCACTCCCTTGGTCATACAGAGATAGCACACTCTGGTAATAAAATTTTTATGATGGAGAGTTTTATTCTTTTTCTGTCAAGATTTTATTTAAATTCAAGTTAGTTACATGTAGTGTAGTATTAGTTTCAGGAATAGAATTCACTGATTCATCACTTCCAGATAACATCCAGTGCTCATCACAAGTGCACTCCTTAATGGCCCATCATCCATCTGGCCCCTCCTGCCACCCACTTCCCCTCAGCCACCCTCAGTTTGTGCTCTATAATTAAGTCTCTTATGGTTTGCCTCCCTTTCTGTTTTTATCTTATTTTTCCTTCCCTTCCCCTATGTTCATATGATGGAGAGTTTTAATACAAGCATTTTAGAACGAAATACCCTATGATTAATACATTTAACCCTTGAACAGCCTGAGGGTCAGGGTGGTGACCCCCTGCACAGTCAGAAATACACATATAACTTCTGACTCCCCAGAAATTTAACTACTAAAGTCTCCTATTGACCAGGAACTTTATCCATAATGTAGTCAATTAACTTGTATTTTGTATGTTTTGTGTTTTATATACTGTATTCTTAAAGAAGGCCAGAAAAAAGAAGATGTTACTGAGAAAATTGTAAGCAAAAGAAAAAACACTGACAGGACTGAAATTTATTTACTGAAAAAAATCTGTATATATGTGGACCCAGATAGTTCAAATCTCTGTTGTTCAAGGGTCAACTGCATATACCTTTTAAAGCCAGAGAGATTAGCTACTGAAAAGTGCTTCTCACATTGTCTCTTGTCTAATGCTGATCACACCTTCCAGTTTAGTAAACTCAGCTGTAGAATTAACTCATTCTTCTTGGACAGGAAAAACAAACCCATGATTTGTTTCCAGGTCATTCTTCTATTCTCCTGTTCCAGTAGAACAGGAAATAACCAAGTGATGTTCAGCATAGTAGATACAACTGAAGGTACCACTGACATACGGGGACCTTTCTGTCACCCAGATGCCCAGATGCCCTTTGAACACCTTGTGTCTTTACCTCGTTATAGGAGCAATGTGACTGATCTCACTTATCTGACCTTTTGTCTTCCTGGTCACTCATCAAATCTATTTGGGGCATGAACACTGTATTAGTTAAAATGTGTTTACTTACAGCTCACAAAACCCTGTTGACACAGTTTAAACAACAGGAGATTTATTTGCTTGTATAACTGGGAAGTTCCACCATCCAGAAGGACATAGAGAAGTCTCCATCAAACCTCCCCTCATGTCTTAGTGGTGGCCCAGATTGGATCATATGCCAAATCCCAAATCCCCTTTTAGTGAGGATAATGCCAGGCCTGGCTTACCTGAACCAGTCCCATCCCAATTGATATCCTAACTGGCACAGAGTCACACCCCTGGAACTTCAGATAGGATCAGGTCCCACCCAATCTACATGGCTACTGTAGAATGAGGGAGAGGGGAAGGGAGTTTGGGGTGACAACCAGAGTGTCCAAAAACAATATTGCGCAGTATGTGTTAAGTCAGCCGACTCAAATTTAGCATGCAACAGAATTACCTGGAAAACTTTTAAAGCTCTGAGTACAGGGCTTCATGTCTGAGAGTTTGTGTTTTCATTGGTTTGGTGTGAATCTCAAGAATATGCATTTCTGGGGCACCTGGATGGCTCACTTGGTTGAGCATCCAACTTTTGATTTCAGCTCAGGTCATGATCTCATAGATGTGCGATCGAGCCCTGCTTCAGGCTCTACACTGGGCATGGAGCCCATTTAAGATTCTCTCTTCATCTTCCTCTGCCCCTCTCTCTCTCTTCTGTCTCTCAAGAAAAAAAAAAAAAAAAAAAAAAGAATATGCATTTCTAATAAATTCCCAGGTGATATTGAGGCTTCTGGTCAGGCCCATGCTTTGAGAACCATTATGGTTTATGTAAATTTCATTATCTAGCATTTTTAGAAGATGGGACAGGTTAATAAAAATGTCTCATGTTTTTTTCTTGTGGTTTCCTTTTTTTTCTTCCTTTGATTTCCCACTTAATAGTTTTTATACATATGTTAGGTCCCATAAATCACCTCAGTTTACAAAGCTCTGTAACACTAAGATATAGCCTTTTTTCCAAAGCAACTATAGAATTAATTTGCACTTCTTATCTCTTGGTTTACTTCAGCACCAAATACTGATTTCTACATTAAAACTTTGAATTGGAAAAGATTAGAAATATGTTAATTATTAATAGGCTACTAGATTGATCCATTCACCCAGCAACTATTTATTTTGTGTATATACCATGTGCCAGAGTGCACTTTGACTATCCCTCCTAAATTTATTTAGCTCTTACAAGTTTACAGCTAATTTCTACTGCATCACTGGAATTGCCTTTTTGTACATGTTGCATACAGATACTCATGGACATAGCAGAGAAGACTGCAAGGGAACTGTTGTATCAAGCATATCTTTATTTTTTTTTTAACATTTATTTATTTATTTTGAGAGAGAGAGAGAACACAAGCAGGGGAGGGACAGAGGGAGAGGGAGAGAGAGGATCCTAAGCAGACTTTGCACTGTCAGCACGGAGTCTGATGTAGGGCTCGAACTCACAAACCTTGAGATTAAAACCTGAGCTGAAATCAAGAGTCAGACGCTCAACCGACTGACCACCCAAGCACTCCTCAAGTATGCCTTTAAAAAAAGTACTTCCTGATAGTTGGGTATAGAAGCCAGTCTTCATATAAAAGTGAAACTTACTTGACCAATGACAATAAAAATCAAAGTTTCATTTTATTGTTCATATTCTGTATTTGTATCCTCTGTTCAGGAAATCAAAGCAATGAAGAAAAGAATGAGTGAGCTATGTATTGACTTCAACAAAAATCTCAATGAGGACGATACCTTCCTTGTATTTTCTAAGGCCGAACTTGGTAAAATCCTGTGCTTTTTTTTTTTTTTTTTT